ACATGATGTAATCTATGCAGAAATAGAAGTACAATGATGTACACCTGAAATTTTTACAATGTTATAAACCAATGTTACTGCAATAAACAAAAAATTTAAAAAAAAACAAAAAAAACAAAATAGAACTCTTGATTCTCACCAATACCTCCCACCCCCTGCTGCAATCCAACCTGGTTACATCTCCATTCTTTTCCTCATCTCCCTTATCCAATCCATCATCAAGCCTTGTCTGTTTTGCTTACCAAATGGTTCTCAAATTCATCCATTTTTCTCCATCTAACCACTACAATCTTTGTCTAAGCCATGATCATCTTTAAACTAAACTATGGCAACAGCCTCTTAACTGGTTTCCCTGCTTACACTCCTCCTCTCCCAAAAATCTATGTTCTATACATCAGAAAAAAAGACCTTCTTAATACTTAAAATAGATTTCATTGGTGGACGTGCACACACATTCCTGATATGTATATATACCTAAGAGTGGAAATGCTGAGTCATAAGTATCTGGAAATCTCAATTTACATACTATCTGCTCAGAGGTGGCCTTTCTTGACCAGTCTAACTGGCCCCACACTGTTAACTCTGTGATAGCATCCAGTATCTTTTCTCCATAGTACTTAGCACAATCAGTAATTATTTCACTTGTGTTTCTTTTCATTTTTTTTAAATTTTTTGTTTATTGCAGTAACTTGTGTTTATTTTATTTCTTCTCTACTAGAGTTTAAACTTAATGAGGATAGGCATCATGTCTCTTTTGTAGTGCTTTGCACAGTATATAAACACCAAACGAATATTTGTTAGTTGATTGAGTAAAAGAATGAATGAAAAGAGTAGTTAAAAAAGATTTCCTTAAAACTCCTATAAGAACAACTCTCCCACAGACAAAAACTATCAACTCTGGATAAAATGTAAAAAGCAACTACCTGAAGACATCTGAAGGTGAAAAAAGTGAGCAAAAACTGGGAAATGATTGGCATTCGTCAGTTGCTAAACACCAGCGATAAAGAGAAAATCTTGAAAGCAGCCAGAAAAATATGACACATGTTTACATACAAGGGATCGATGCTATGAATGACTTCAAACTTATCATCACAAACAATGAATGCTAAAAGACAGTAGAAAAATATCTTTCAAGTGCTAACCAAAAAAAAAAAAAAAAACCCAAAAAGCTATCAACCCAGAATTCTATATCCAGTAAAAATAACTTTCAAAAATGAAAGTAAGGGGCCAGCCCTGTGGGATAGTGATTAAATTCGGTGCACTCCACTTCAGCAGCCCAGGTTTGGTTCCTGGGTGTGGATCTACAACAGGCCATGCTGTGGTGGCGACTCACATACAAAATAGAGGAAGATTGGCACAGATGTTAGCTCAGGGCTAATCTTCCTCAGCAAAAAAAAAAGTAAAATGAAGACATTTTCAGATCAATGACAACTAAAAGAACTGACTGCCAGCAGATGTGCGCTACAAAGAAATGTTAAAGGAAGTTCTTCAAGCTGAAGGAAAATAATACTAGATGGAAACTTGGATCTTCAGGAAGGAATGAAGCAAATCAGAAATGGTAGGGGCCGGCCCAGTGGCGCAAGCGGTTAGGTGCGCACGCTCCGCTGCAGCGCCCCGGGGTTCACCGGTTCAGATCCTGGGTGCGCACTGATGCACTGCTTGGCAAGCCATGCTGTGGCGGCGTCCCATATAAAATGGAGGAAGATGGGCATAGATGTTAGCCCGGGGCCAGTCTTCCTCAGCAAAAAAAGAGGAGGATTAGCAGATGTTAGCTCAGGGCCAATCTTCCTCACAAAAAAAAAAAAAGAAAAGAAAAGAAAAGAAAAAAGAAATGGTAAATATGTGGGTAAATATAAAAGACTGATTTTTTCCTCTTAATTTTTTAAAATACATATAATTGTCTAAAGCAAAATTTATAAAATTGTATTATGGGATTTATAACTTTTATAGATATAATAAACATGAAAACTATAGCATAAAGCCTAAGCAGGGGGGCTATAAAAGGACCCTTATAGATGCAAGGTTCTTCCATGTTATGTGAAGTAGTACACTATCAATCTTAAGAAGACTGTGAAAAATTAAGGATGTATATTGTAATTCCAGGATGACTACTAAAAATATAATGCAAAAAGGAAAGTTATGGTTATAAAACCATAATAAAATGTTGAAAATATAAATGAATATAAGCAGCAACAGACTTCAAAACTAAAGTTAATATATTTTCTAAGAAACAAATTAGAAAGGATCAAAACATAATTGATGATAACTAAAAGGGTGTTCAACAGTGCATTATTTATAATAGTGTAAATTTAGAAATACACGTCCAATAACAGGGGATTGGTTGAGAACATTATGGTCTACCTGTATCTAACATACTATATGTATGTATAATATTTATTATTTATTGTCTCTCCACCAACTAGACTAAAAGCTCCTTGAGGACAAAGATGTTGCTCTGTTTCGTTCACTACTGTATTCCCTTTGCCTGGAACAAGGCCTGTCTGCCACGTAGTAGCTGTTCAAAATAAGTAGTTGTTGAATGAACGAATAATGGAATATTTGCAGTCATTAAATTATGTTGAACATTATTTAATGACATGTTCATTAAATATATTCTAAAGTGAACAAAGAGTATGAAACTATATGAGCAGATATGAACAGTGTACAGAAAAAGAAATGC